GACTGTCACAATTGTAAAGGTAGAAGTTTTGTAACAACAACAACAACAAAAAAAAAAGCATGGTTTCTCTGATCTTAAATAGACTTCCCCCAACCCTGCACCACTTAAACAACCAAGAAACAGTGCCCTCCACCCTCATTTTCAAAAAACAAAGATTTAGAGATCACCTTCTCTAGGCAAATAGGAAAATCCTTATCATTTTTTCCAATGCACGTAGCAAAACTCCAAAGGCAGTAATCACCCTACACAACATCATACCAATAGTTATCTTGTTTCATAAACTAGTTCGTATCAGTCAGCAAAGGGGTAAAAGGCATGTGACAACAACTCTTAATTTTTGTTCCAAATTTTGTTTCCCCATATGTCCCCAAATTTCTATTAAGTAATTACTATATCAGATGGTAAAGCAAATGTAACAAGTTGTAATATCACTGAATTCAACATCTTAACCAAGAGAAATACAAATTATGCTCTGACAGTTACAAACATGGGTTGCAGTTATGACAACAGCCTGTGGAAAAATAACTTATGAAGAACTCCTGTAAGGTAATCAATAACCAGTGATAGGAGGTGAGAATCATAGGACTGTACAAAATGAAGTGCTGAGTAGTCAGCTATATTCTCAGAGTAAATTCCAGCCTACATAACATCAAACTGCTCTTGCTGCAAAAAGAGTACTTCCATTCAATGTACATTACCTTTCTCGAGATTGAAGAGACATTCAAACCAAATCTTTGAGCTCTTTCTTTCAGCTTATCCATGTTAATCTACAAAAAAAAAAAAAGAAAGAAAAAAATATGTATCTATATTAAAAAACTGACCAGGAAATACAGAAAACAAAAACAATGGCCCAATGCTAAGAGTTCAATTAAGCCTACGACATCAAAACAACCCATGTGCCAAATTTAATGTGCTAAAAAAACAGCAGGATCTACAAATAGAATTCCTAAATTGTTTCCTACAGATTTTCTGGTGGTGATTAAGAATTAGTATTACCCAAAGTCATTAGAAAAGACCTAAAACTGCATAAGACAAAGAATTATATGGACTATCTTCTACCAAACACAATCTAAGCATCTTTTCAAGAGGAGGAATGGTAGGAAGGAAGATTATCAATGATGATTTGGAAGATGTGTCAATTTTCCTGCCTCTTAGTACCTTAAAAAATTTCTTTAATTCAGGACATACATAACAATGTACTGAAAATGAAGCCACCAAATTCATATGATCTCAGAGTTTCTTCCACTCTGAGGAGCATGAGGAAAACTCTAACTTTAAAACTATATAGTGTTAAGATCTGGTTCTGCAAGGAATAGAAAAAGATTTCTTACCATAGGCTTGGTGTCTGATGACAGGCCTACAGAAACAAATAAAAACGCTTTATTACTCAAATCAGACAGCACAAAAATAGTACATAAGATAAATGCCTTTTATTCTATGATGATAAAGAAAAAGGACAAATTATAACTAGAAATCATATCTGCACTCATTACTGGTGGTGGTTGGTGGTGGTGGTTTGTGCCGTGGAGTGGGTTCCGACTCATAGCAACCCTGTACAGGGTTTCCAAGGCTGTAAATCTTTATGGGAGCAGAAATTCTCATCTTTCTC